CCTGGCAGAGCCTTCCTCAGGGTTGGGCAGTCCTCCCTGTCCTGTCTGCTGACCACCGAAGATTTTACTGCTGGGTAGAAAGTTCTCAGCAGGCGCCTGGAACCTCCCCACTCCCAGACACAGTCCCACCACAAACCCATATCCAGTCTGGATGCAGTAAAGGGGCACCACAAAGCCAAGAAATGGACCCTAAAAAGAGAATCGCCAATGCATAAGAAGACTTAGCTACCAGCTGCTAGATCCAGCACTCTAACTGCAGAAATGATGGAAACAATCTCAGTCCAGCTACAGGGCACAGAGAAGTTAATCCATTCCCTCTGGGATGGCACATGGGGCCGATCCTGATGTCCATCTGAGAACACCTCAAATTTTCTTGACCCTCAACTCCACGCAAAGTCTACAATAGATAAAACTCTCTTTAGAGGATAATAACAAAAGTTGTTGTGATCTTCAATTCTGTTTTTGTTACCATACATTAAAAAAAGTCACTGGGGCTGGGGGTGCAGCTCAGCAGTAGAGCATCCATCCAGCATGCACAAGGCCTTGGGTTCCCTCTGTGCTACTGCAAACTAGCCACAAAAAAATCCTCTGGGATCCTACATACCACTGCCGAAGGTCTGCCTCAAAGAGCACAGATCCTAAGTTTTCCCCTTAGCTGCTTGCTTTTCTGATTTTTCAACAATCAAATGCAAGTAATTTCTGTAATTATTAAAACCAGCTAAAAATGAGAAAAGAAATAATTTTCTCCTCCTCCCGGAAATATGTCTCAGAGCCTTGACCTGGGTGCCAAAGTCCAGCTTCTTGTCCCAGCACTGCTGTTGCCAGGCTGCAAGGAGAGCAGATTCCCACATGTCCCACCAAACACCCAAACTAGCCATCTGAGCTCCAGGGCCATCCTCCCTGAGTTCCTCCACCCTGTGAGGTGGGAATTTAAAGGCATATCCCCAGAATCAGTAAGCCAGGCACCCCAACCCTACACACAGGGTTCCCCTTTTCCAGCCCCTGCTCATCCACTTCCTAATGACCCCACAGCCAGACTGTGGGAAAAGGGCAGCACCAGAGACAGACACTGAGACAAAGCCACCATCACGGCGTCACAGGCAGAGGCCAACAATCTTTCCAACCACCCCGCCTGAGGGTGGAATCTGTAACCCCATCTCACAGAGAATAAACAGAGGCTCAAAGAAAACTGACTGCCCACCAACATACAGCCATTCAAGACTCTGAGCTCCTGCTAGGCCTTCTCAAGGGGTGATCGGCAACCCCACATCCCTATCTGAGAACCGAGCGCACAGTTCAGCACTACAGCAGGAGGCAGAGAAAACTAGGAACGGGACACAACACAGCAGGCTGGAGCCTCAGAGCCTCAGCTCTCACTGTCTTCTCCCTGGTGGCCCCCTCCCCCCACCCCAGGCCCTGCTCCCCGCCATGGGGACTGGAAAAGCAGCTGAACAGAGGAGGTGCAATGCAGCCCCTCTGCACGGACGAGCCCAGACCCCGAGTTGTGGAGTCTGGTACCATGCAGTTGCTCCCTAAAACAGCAGATAAGAGCCCTCAGAAACCAGCAGGGGACAAAGGCCAGCTGTGCAGGTGCAGATTGGGGCAAAGTGAAGACGGAACTCTCTGGGAAGAAGACTGCAAAGGAAACTAGAAATCTGAGAAGTTTGGGTCTGTTTGCTTGCTCCTTTGTTTTATAGTACTGGGGATTAGAGGCTGATGCACAGCTAGGAAGAACGGAGCTGGGGCTCAAGCCCAGGAGCAACCTCTTGAGCCTATGCTCCTGTCCAGCAGCCTTTGTCCTGATGACTGAAAACAGGCTCCCTCTGCACACTGGGGATGCCATGTAAGCCACCTCACTCAGCAGGTGGTCATTCACTGAAGACCCCCTGGTGCACACACTGGCTGGGCCTTCTGCTGCCAGCTCACCGCACCTGGCACTGGCCCTGGCCAGATGCCCACTACCCCCACCTTGTGGGCTCCATGTAGCCATTTCCAGATAAAGAATGTGCTCAGGTAGAGAGGAGCTACCCGCCACCATGCAAACTAGGGCACGGAGAGGGCCAGGGAGGGCTGGGGCCAGAAATGCCTGCTTTCTCTCCTCTTAAAGGAACATCCAGGCCCACAGATGCCCAAAGGCAGAAAAGGGTGAAAGCCCCAGAGACAAAGCATCAAGTCCTAAGAGTCCCAGGCCACACATCCCAGCCCACCATGGCTGGAGGGAACACTGAGGCCAGTTGTCCAAGAGGGCCCTGAGCACTTTCTAAGACACACAGCAGGGCTACAGTGGAGCAAGGGGTGACAGGAAGAAGCAACAGCCAAGCACTTAGTTAGTCTGCAAGATCTGGGAAGAACAGGAAGAAGAACCTGCAGGCTGATGTCACAAACAGCCCTCAGCACGAGTCCTTGGGCCACTGCCCAGAGCCCAGCCTACAGGTGAAGCAGTCCCTGCCCCTTGCGGCCATGGCCTCCACCCCATGAGTCCAGTGCCCAGCAGCTGTGGCTCCCAAACAGCAATAGCTCGGGGCCTAGAAACCAATGATAACCTCGGCGACATTGCACTGACCTGGTGCCTCCAGAAGGGGGCTGGCCATCACCCCTGGATCCCCATCCATCCTCTGAGCAGCCTCAGGGCTGGGCCCATCAGATCGCTTTCTAACAGTCTGAGCCACAAGTACAGCAGGCCCAAAGTGACAGCCTATGGAATGTAGGCATCAGCCACTCAGGGCACCCTCTGCCAGCCTGCCAGGCCACTCTGTTAGGGTAAGTGAGACTAATTGGTCCCAAGATGTCTCACAGCTCTGGGACCTTGTCTCTTGATCCTCTTTATTGAATCTAGAAGCTGCATCTGGCTCCAGTCTTCATCTGCAAACTGAAGTCCAGGTGCCAGGGCAGAAGGATTGAAAATTTACCAAAACAAACACAAAAGGCTTTGCTTTTCTTCCCCATTGTAGACATTTTGAAAATATAAAAAGCATGAGTAAGAGAATGATCTGTCAACAAACTCCCCCAAAGATACCCCATAAAACCCCCCACCCAGTGCTTTACAGCCTGGCCCACCGGCTGTGTGAGGGTTTGTGGTCAAGGTGTATTCTGTCGCCCCTATCAGCCAATGGCCTTTGAGAGCAGGGCCACCCTTACCTCACTTCTGGGTGACACAGGCAGGCCCACCTGAGTGCCCCTTGCTGGATTCAGCTAGGCAACTACCAGCAGTTCTTGTGCCCAGCTGCAGAAGAATGGGATCAGGAGGTGGGGGTCAGAGACAAAACCCCAAAGGGCCTCTAAGGTATGGGGCAGAAACAGAAAAAACGGCAGATGGGCAGGTAGGGGTTAATCAATGTATTCTGCCCCTCAGAGAGGGATTTAACTGGCCCAGGGAAGACTCTACCTTCCATCAGAACAGGACAGAAGATCTGAAGGTCAGGCCTAGTCCCAGCTCCAGGCTTCAGATGACCTCAGTCTTCCCATGTGTATATAGGGCTGATCGTTTCAGCCCTGCCTACTTCATAACCAACCCACACAAGGGATATTCAGGAGTCTTGGAAACTGAAGACCCTTGGAAGGGCCTGACAGGTCCCACCTCTCCATAGCCTCCTCTGTAGAAAGCCAAGAAGCACCCCCTCTCAAAAGCCCAAGGGCCTCAAGGGAAAAGAAGGTCCAGGGCCAAGGGTCTTGGACTCCTATCATCAGAAGAGGGAGCTCTAAGCAGCATCCTGCCTGCACCTGTGATCCCAGCTTGCTCTCCAGGGCCGGGCCACCACTGCTGTGGGGCCTGCACACATACCTGGGGTCACAGCTCCCAGCTTCTCTGCTCCCTGCCTCCTGTGAGGGATCTACCTTGACTGAAGCCAGAGACTGACTGAGCCAAAGGGCCTGCCCATGGCAGTGCTATTGGCCACTCATTCTTCCTTCTGCCTGGCATCACCTTAGGGCCGCATCCCACCAGTGAGGAGCCTGAATTCATCTTAAACGCTGCTTCTGCGTGGATCCACACTCTCGTTTCCAGGCTTGGCTTGAGGACTCAGAAGCAACATTTTTGGGGTTTTAAGAGAGAGAACAGCTGCAAGCCACCCTGAGAAAGGAGGGTGGGTGGGTACCTTTGCCTAGTCTTTCTCACACGGTGGAAACCCAAGGAGGGGCTGTGCTTGGCCGAACTCCAGTACCTGGCCCCTTCTGAGGTGACTGCTCCACTCCCAACCCCCTCGCCTTGTCCTCCTGGACTTTCTTCCCAGGGCAATGCCAACAGCCTATCCTGGCCCCAGCAACAAAGCCCCCACCCCTCTGTCCCCATGAGCCAGGTCCTCCCAGGAAGGAATCTGAAGGCACCATCGCCGGCCCCCGGGACCCTGTCCTTCTCTGGCGTCCGTCCTGTCACCCGGAAAGCGGAGGTCGGGGGGCCTCTTCGGCAGTGCCGGAGGGCGGAAGGGGATGCAGGGGTCTGAGAAGCCCAGACCCGACGTGGCAGAGGCCGCAAGGCGGGGAGAAGATCCGCAATCCCGGCCCCGCTGGCGGCGGGTGTCCGCGCCCCGCGCCCCCACCTAGAGGGGCTCTCGGGGGGCGCCCCAGGCCACGTCCCACCGCGCGAGGGAGACCCACAGACACCCCGCCGCGCCCCGCCCGCGACTCGGGGGGCCTCTGCCCGCACCGCAGCCCGGGTCGCCGCGAGGGGGAAGGGCGCAGCGGGCGACGGCGCCCCCCACTGGCCTCCCTGCCCAGCCCGGTACCGGCGTCCGCCCCGCTCGGCCCGCAAAGCGAGAACGCACCGATCCGCCTCCAGCGCCGGGAGCGACCGCACCCGCACTCGAGTCCTCGGCCCGGGTCCACGCGCACGTGCCCGGGGAGCACCCGCGCGGCCCCGCCGGGAGACACTTTCTAGCAAACTCTCGCCGCTGCTGCTGCTCCAGACCTCCCCCGCCCTGCAGGAACGCCCGTTTCTGGAAGGCTCCCCAGACGGCGACGGCGGCGGCTGCTGCCCTCCCGCCAAGACGAGGAAGCCTCAGTCCCGGCCTCGCGTCTGACTCAGGCCTGGCCCTCTCGGGAGGGTCCGACAGTGGGGCCCGCCCACCCACTGCCCTGGCTAGCGCAGGCCTTCTTGACCTGGCCTTCGCTGGCACCAGGACAAAGCGAGCTAAGAAAGTAGGTGTGTAACCTGGGAATGGCCCCTGTAGCCTAGGGTGGGGCCCTCGAGTTGGCAGGGAAAAAAAATCTGCTCCTTTTCAGAGGCACCCAGTCTGGGCGAACAAGAAGCCTCTGAGTCAGATGGGAGTGGCCGCAGATACCAAAGTGACCAAGCCCAGGAGGGCATCTAACCGGGACACCTGCCCCAGTCCCTCCCTCCCTACCTGTCCAGAGCTCCCTCTACCCATGAATGGGTTTTTGCTTTGCTGGAAGAGTCACAGGGCACTTGTTGTTCCCATTTCTTAGGACCAATTCCGAGGCCCTGGCCAGACTGACACAGTTGGAAACGGTGGGGCCTGACAGTGCCCTGGTGATTATCCACCTTTAAGCTTAGGAGATGGAGGGTGTGAGTTAGTTCCAACACCCACAACAGACAGAATGGGAGGCACTTGCCAGAGGTGTCTGATCCTTTCACTATGGGAAGCCCGAGCTGTGTTAGTGTTCACTAAAAGGTTCCTCTTCTTCTCCTTTTTCCTTGGCCCTTCTGCTTGCTACCATCCCATGATCTTCACCAAGCATAGTTATTTACTACATCAGAGGAGGTGGCTTGGCAATTCTTTGCTTGTAGTGGACAGGAACCCGGCCTATTTTCAGTTCATTCAACTGTAAAAAGGTGGCCTCAGGAAGGGGCTGGGAACCTGCAGTTTAACCAGCATAGGTATGATCATGTGACAAGGAGGCTACAGGAAGCTCGTGCACTGGAACTGCTCTGATGGACCTGAGACCAAGGACCTCAGCTTAGCTGGTGAGAAAAGACCCTGGTGAGGCCTGAGCCTGCTGCCCAAGCGAACCTGCAGTCCAGCCCAGAGCCCACCCACTTTGAGAGCCTGCCGAGGAATCACACAGTGGAATGCTGAAAGGTGGAAATCTGACTTCCACTCCAGATGTGAGGCATAGATCCCCGGCTGCAGTGAGCCCCCCTACTGCCTCCTGTTCCCAGGCACCTTTTCTGGGATCCTCCAGCCTCTGAGCATAGGACAAGGTGACATTTGGCTCTCGGGCTGGAGCTGCTCCCTACTGTCTACCTTCCCGCTGGCAGCTCTGGCCAGGTCACAGCAGCCTCTTAGGGATTCTCCTGAGCAGCTTGTCCCTGGCAAGGAGACAGGAGTCCCAGCTCTGGTCACATGGTGAGCCCTTGGCCCTTTTCAGGTCAGACAGGAAGCAGCGCTGTGACTTCCCTCTCAGTCATCTATGTGTCATCTTCACACAGGCCTGTGACAGCAGATAGGAAAACTGAGCTAGAGAAAGTGAGTTAAACACGCTGTTTGCACCTGTGCATGCCACCAGCCAGCAAGAGCCGACCTCATCCATTCTGCTGTGGATCTCTCAGTGACAGTCGCCTCTTGGAACATTCAATCCTCAGTGACTTTCAAAGTATGGCCAGCGGCAGAATCACCCACACATCACCTGCTCCACACTGAGCCCCCGACTCAGCAGAGCAGGGTGTGCCCAGCTCCAGGGCTGCAGGTCCCCCGGCCAGCCTGAGACACTGGTCTCCAGGTAAGAATGGAGTCCCACTCCCAGGGCCGGGGTATGGGAATATGCACTCTTTAGTGCTCTCTCAAGTCAAGGATGGTACCCCCAAATCAGGAGGGAAAAGAATGGGTCTCTGAATTCATAGTGTTCAGCTATAGTCTGAGGAAAAACGGTTAGATACCAATTTATGCCCATGCTTTATTTTTTTTTAATTTTTATTTTCATTAGTACATGTTTGTACCACACAATGTTTACATTCATTGTGGAGACCGTGTCTATATCTCAATTCTTTTCACTCGCCTTTTCTTTCCCTTCCCCTTCATATCTTGGATCTCTTCCCTTTTACAAAGGATCTGACCTCTCTGTTTCCTATTATCTTTTTAAAAAACTTTATTAATACATACTTGCAATATATAATGATTACATTCTTGTAGAAAGATGGTACATGTACATAATACATCTTAGTTTCTTTTTCACCCCTCCCCCTTCCTCCCTCTCTCTTTTCTTTTGTACTGGGAATCGAACTTACAACCTCACGCTTGTCTGGCAGGCACTTATGCTGCTGAGCCAAATTCACAGCCCTCCCTCCCTCTCTTGGTCTCCTTTCTATTTGAAAAAGATCTAACTCCCTAGTTCCTAATATCTATCTTTTATTTTGCTCTTTACTTGTATTTTGTGTTTCTTGAGTATGAGCGAAACCATGCAACATCTACCCTTGTGCACCTGATTTATGTAACATTATGATCTCAAGGTGCATCCGTATTTCCTAAAATTGACTCACGTTTATGCTTTATGGCAGAATAAGTAGTGCATTGTATGTAAATACCACATTTTCTTTATCCATTTGTCTGCTGATGGACAGATGGGCTACTTTCAAGATAAGATCTAGCTATTCTCAGGAGGCTGAGGCAGGAAAATCTTTGCAAGTTTAAGACAAGTCTGGGTTACAAACTGAGCTCAAGGCCAGTCTGAACTGCATAGTGAGACCCTGTCTCAAAAAAAAATCTAGCTATTATGAATTGTGTTGCTATACACGTGACTATATCACTGTTTCACTATAATAATTCCTTGGGGAAGACACCTAGAAGAGAAATACCTGCATCAAAAGGAATTTCTAGTTTTTGAGCTTTTTTTGAGGAATTTCCATAGTAGTTGTACTAGTTTACATTCCCACCAATGCTGTAGAAGGGTTCTCCCCGTGACTCCACCTCTCCAACATTTGTTATCCGATTTCTTGATGATTCTTTCTGGAGTACTGTTGTTTTAATTTGCATTCCTCTAATCACCTATGATGTTGAACATTTCTTCATGTGTACTTTCTCTGACAAGGATTTCTTCACTTCAGTTAATCATTTTTGGATTGGGTCTTTTATTTTGGGGTGTCTATTTTTTGATCTATGTATATTCTCTAAATATTAGCTTCTGTCTAAGGAGAAGCTATCAAAAAATTCCCCCTTTCTTTGTAGATTGTGTCTTCACTCTGCTTTTTTTCTTTTGCTGTACAGAAGCTTTTAAACTTGATATATGATTTGTTGACTCTTGGTACTATTTCCTATGCAACCAGGGTTCTGCTCAGGACCTATACCTATGACTTTAAGAGTTTTGCTTATTTTATCTTCCAGCAGATAAAATATCTTCCAGTTTCTGTTTTAACATTTGGATCACTGACACATTTTGATTTTAGTTTAGTACACATCAAGATATGTATGGGTCTAGTTTCAATCTTCTGCATGAGGATAATCAGTTTCCCCAGTACTATTTGTTAAAGAGGCTACCTTTCCTCCAGTGTACGTTTTTGGTTACTTTGTCAAAGATCAAATAGTTGGATTGCTTTGGGTGTCCTTTATTGTGTTCCACTGAGCTGCACGTCTGTTTTGTGCCAGTACCATGTTTTTTTTAAATCACTATAGCTTTGTAATATAGCTTCAAATCTGAGGTTGCGATGCTCTCCACTTTGGTTTTGTTACTCAGGCTTGCTTTTCTATTCAGGGTATTTTTCGGCTCTATGTGAATTTTAGGATTGCTTTCTCTACTTCTATGAAGAATGCTGTTGGCATTTTGATTGAGATTGTGTTAAATCTGTGTATCGGTTTGGAAGTATGGCCATTTTGACTAATTTGGGTTAGCCTGTCCAGGAACAGGGAATATTTTTCGATTTTCTGATGTTCTCTTTGGTCTCCTTTCTCAGAGTACTATAGCTTCCTAGGTTAATGTGTCAGTATCTAACTTTTCTTGATGCTATTGTAAATTGTACTGTTTTCCTAATTTCTTTCTCAGTGAGTTATTAGGATACAGGAATGTTATTGATTTTTGTGTGTCGATTTTACATCCAGATGTAAAATCTGGATGTCTTTGAAATTTTTTGGGTCTTCTATTTAAAGGATCATGTCATCTGCAAATAATGATGTGACTCTTCTTTTCCTAACATATCCCTTTTATTTCTTCCTTTTGCCTGATTGCTCTTGCTAATGTTTTAAGTACTATATTAAACAGGAGTGGTGATAGTAGACATCGTCTTCTTGTTCCTGAGTTTAAGAGGGAAAGCTTTCAGTTTTCTCCATTTAATATGATGCTACTAGTAGGTTTGCATTAATGACTTTTATCAGATTGAGATAGGTCTTGTTATACATATTTTCTTCAATGTTTTTATCATGAATGTCTGCTGAATTTTGTCTTTTGAAATGATTATGTGATTTTTTATCCCTGCTTCTGATTATGTAATGAATTACATTTATTGATATGTACATATTACACCATCCTTGCATCCCTGGAATGAAACCTAGTTGGAAGTGATATTAGATCTTTTGATAACTTATTGCATTCTGTTTGCATTCAGTATCTTACTGAAGATTTTTGCATCATGAAAGACATTGATCTTTAGTTCTCTTTTGGTTGGATCCTTGTCTGGTTTTAGAATCAGGGTAATGTTAACTTATAGGAATCACTTTGGGAGTACTCCTTCCCTTTCACTTGCATTAAAGAGCTTGAGTAGTATCAGCGTTAGATCATCCCCAAAGTTCATATACAATTCAAGCAGGTCTATCTGGTCCTGGCTTTTCTTAGTTGGTAGGGTTTTATTTTTTAATTCCTGGTTCAATTTCATTGCCTGATTGGGGGAACTGTCTCACTGTGGAGGGAGCTTTTGAAACCTATTTGATTATTCAGGGATTTTATATCTTCTTGTTTCCATATTGGGGGATGTGTGTGATTGACACACATATATATATGTACATACCAGTTTATTAGTGTATGGATCTGTGAAGTAGATGCTAATAATCTGGAATTCAAGAGTGGCCATGATTTTACCTTTTTCATTTCTAATTGCATTGACTTGGGCCTTTTGTTTCATTTTTAAGGGTCAAGATTGGCTAAGAGTTTGTCTTTTTTGTTTATTCTTTGAAGAACCAGCTCTTCAGTTCCTTGATTCTTTGTACTGTTTAGTCTTAATTTCATTGATTTCTGCTCTGATCATCATAACTGCCTTCCTTGTACCAGTTTTGGGCTTGGTATGTTCTAGTTTTTCTAGGACTTTGAAGTGCATCATTAGGTTATTTGGGCTTGCTGCTTTTGTAATGGGGGTCATGTCCATACTTTTAAAAAAGTTTATTTTTGTGTTTAAAAACAACCAAGAAAATCTTCTCAAAACCTTGGAGTGGAGGGATACACATGGCGGAATTTGTCTACATTGTAGCTGGAGCTGCATGTCTCTACCCAGGTAAGCAGTCCTCCAGATGTCCAGGCATGCCTTGTTTTGGATTTAAATTATTCAGTGTGTTGAAAAACTCAAGAACACATTTGCTTGAAGACCCTAGCATGCACCATGGGAGATCCAAGAACCCTCAGCATTTGTTGCCCAGGTTAGTTCCTGGGGTAGTTAAACAGATTAGGGGTCCTGTCTCACTTGTGCAGGAAAGGAAGCTTTTGAAGCCTAAGTCAATCTCTACCACAAAAGCTTAAAATTCTTACAGCCAATTCAATTCTTTCCTCTACCAGTCAAAGGGGCCACAGTCAAGCAGGTCAGCACAAGAGCATCCTGAGCCTCCCACCCAACCTCACAGACACTTTTTTGGGCTCTGCACATATAATTACATGACACTCAGTCACCTTCTCATCTCCTGGTCCCAGCTGCAAGCCCTCAAGAGGAAGAGGCATCCCCCTTTTCCTTTGTCTCCCATCTGAGCTCGCTAGGTAACAGGTGCCCACTGAGCACTCACCAACAGAATGACTCACAGTTTTTTAATCAGAAGCAGTTATGTACCTCGTAGTAGGAAATGAAACAACCCAAAGATAAGACTTGGCAGCTTCCTTTAATCCTCTCCACACAAACTTCATCAGACAGCTGATTCTAAAGGCTTGGGAATGCTCCTATATGCTTCTCTGCCGATAGTTGAGTTTTATGTTGGGAAGCTAGCTGGGAAATATGATAGCTTGAAACCACACTCACACTTGCTGGCTCCTCAAACTCATTGAAATGGCAGTGAGAGGTGTTTCAAGGGTCACAGAATGGAGACAGAGAAAGTAGCAGCCATTGGTAGAAGGCATGTTGGTCTGGTGTTTCTGGTACAGCAGCCTGGGAGATTGAGTCTTGTGGTGGCAGCTGGGAGAAGGAACATGTAATCCCAGTCACACTGGGAAGCGCTGGCTACTCAGGGCGGGGAGTGTTAGCCACCTCAGAAAGTGAGGACGATAGGCTGAAAATCTAAGAAGTGTTAGGGATGCCAAACTCCCACACTCAGCATGGCCGCAGTGACTCACAGGCATGACTGATTCCTCAATACATGCAACTCAGAATCACCAGAAATCTGAGGAAAAACTTCTAACCCAAACAAGAGAAAAGTCAGCAGTGACTACTCAGGCAGATGAAAACCAGATAATGGAACAGTACCAACATTCTCAGAGACTCCAAAAATGTATCATAACCATGAAACAAAATAGGATACTAGTTTTTAACAATGAACATCTGGTAATAAACAAAAGAACTTGGAAAGGAAAATCATGATAGAAATGTTTTTAAAACTCCCAGGAGAAAGATAAAAACTCAACAAAAAGTCAGAGATACAAAATGGGCAAGAAAAGACAAGAAAATTAATCTGTATCCAGGAGAACTAATATCTGAATAACTGGATTTCCTGAAAGTACAGATGGGGTGTCTAAGTGACAATTCAGGACTTCCCAGTCTCAGAAAGATGTGTCACCAGACTGCACCCATAACACCAAGTGCCTACTGTATAATGCAAACAGACCCACTGGATTTCTGTGATAGTAACACTTCAGAACTGGGGAACAAAGAGAAGACCTTAAAAGTCTGAGAGAGGGCTAAAAGGTCACGACTAGCACTAGATTTCTCCCAGAGATACTGAGAGTGATGAAGCAATGCTTTCAAATTCCAAAGCAAAAATATTTTTCTGCATAGAATTCGATATCCAGCCAAACTATCAATTGAACACAGAGAACACATTTACAGGCTGTTCAGGAAGTTGCTGGGACACACCCAGTGATGAAAGAGGAGTTTATAAACAGAGGGAAGCAAAACATGGAGAGGAGGAAGTACACTGCGGACACTGAGGGTGGAGAGGGAGCTGCACGATGCCCTGTACCTGTGCCAGGCAGGAGCTCGGGGAGAGGTGCCTGTGAGCACCGGCAGGGCCTTTCAACACCGACAGTTTAGGGCTGTTATGGCTTATTGAGTGTGACCCCCGAACTGTCACGTACTCATAGATGGGCTTTTGGGTGGTGACTGAATCACAGGGGCACTATAATGGGAACTGCTGTTGAGAGGAGGGACCAGCCCAGAGACACGGGTCACTAAGGTGACCTGGAAGGGTGCATCTCCCTCCTGGCTCCTCCCTTTCTCTCTGCTTCCTGGTCATGATGATGTGAACAGCTTCCAGATCCTCCCACCATGCCTTTCCTGCCTTGGACTAAAAACCATGAGGCCAAATAAACCTCTCCTTTAAGTTGTGTGTGCCAGGTATGGTGTCTTGATCATGAGAACATGTCTGAGATAAGAGTGAATTAGTAAACAGCATAGAACAGTACAATAAAAAACAGTATCCAGGAAAAACAAAAAGTTTCTCAGAAAAAGAAATGGGGGGAGGGGTGCATCACGCAGCGGGAGAGTTGTGCTTAGCTTAAGTAAGGCCTGGGTTCAATCCTTGGCACTGCCCTCCCCCTAAAAAGGGGAGGGGAAAGCAGCAAGTATTTTTATCATACAGTCCAGTTATAGGCAGTACTTTCTCAGAAGCCTGAGGCAGGAAGATCACCATAAGTTCAAAGCCAGTCTGGGCTACATAGTTTGAAGCCAGCCTGAACTACACAGTGAGACCTTGTTTCAACAAACAAACAAACAGAGCCAGAGATTTAGCTCAGTGGCACAAGCACCTGCCTGGCAAACACAAGGTCATGAGTTTGATCCCTGGTACCAAAAAAACCCAAAAACATCCCAAAAAAGTCTGCCTTATAGCAAAAACAAACAAAAAACATAAAACAAGAACAGCACTTACCCAGTCATGATGTACTTACTATTGTGCTAAACGATGCAACTTGGTTGGGAACTTGGGGGAGGGGTGGGAACTGTGTAATTTCAAGAACTATAAACCAAGAAGTGGCAGGAAGGTGTACTATTTAGAGCCATGGAGGTAAACACCCACCCTCAAACTCACCAGATGTTGGAAGTGGCTACCTCAGTAAGAGAGGAAAGTAGAGGAAGATGATGAAGCAGGGGAACTTTCACAGTAACTGGCTTTGAATGGTGACAAAACTCATGCCCGGCCTCAGCCACCTGCTTCTCTCTTCCTTGGCAGAGTCCAGCCCAACTTGCCAGCACCCTGCCAGCTCTGGCCCGTGCCCCATCTCTGTCCACCTCCATTCTGACAGCCTTGTTCCAGTCACCTCCTGCTTACCTCCCATCTTCCTATGGAGATGTCGTATATGAAAGCAGTTTTCTTGAATTGGATGTGTAGTGCAATCTGCCTGAGGGCTGTTTTCAGGAGTGTTCATGCAAAGCCGCCTTCCTGAAGCTGCTCACTGAGTGACAGAAGGCAGTGGTTGCAACCTAAATTGAGCAGTAACTTCTAGAAACTGATATACCACTTAATAGGCCACTTTATATTTTTAATAAGCTCATTTGATTTTTTTTTTGTCTTTTTTGTTTTTATCGGTACCAGGGATCGAACTCATGACCGCCTGCTTGCAAGGCAGGTGCTTATGCCGCTGAGCTAAATCCCCAGCCCCTCTCATTTGATTTTGATGTTGGGACTAAATGTTAAGCCATTTGCACCTATTTACATCTGTCCTTTAGATGTATGACAGAATTGTAAGCTCATGTTTTCAAGGAGTTACTTACTTGCTTTAAAAACACAATTATAAACTGTCAATTTAATAAACTAAAAAAAATTTCTCCAAACACAACTGCACAGGCATGCATGCCCCCCTGCACACATGCTACTTTTGAAGTTTTCAATGTAGGTTTAATGGTTTTCTTAGCAAGAAATTTAAGGCATTTTACTAAAAAGATGAAATGTTTCTAAAAGTCAAAGAACTTGTATTCTAAAGCTAAACAGATAAATCTAGAAGACCTCCCAACAGACTTCCAGCTACAATCAACAAAAAAACCCAAGAACGTAATTTCAAGATAAGTGTCTGTTTAAAAATACTGCAGGGGGCTGCGGATTCAGCTCAGTGGCATAAGCACCTCCCTGGCCAGCATGAGGTCATGAGTTTGATTCCTGGTACCACCAAAAACAAAAGTCAAAAATACTGCAGCGTTCCTAAGACTGAGAGACAGTGCTGTCTGGAATATCCTCTGCTAGCTTTTATCCTTTCTCCCAACACCAGAGGCAGCTTTCTCTCCCCAGGAAATGATTGTTGCACTATGCCCTTAAGTCCACAGGACATAATGTCCTTTCTTGGTGCAGGGGATTGGACCCATGGCCTCACACGTGCTTGGCAAAGCACTATACCATGAATTATGCCAACCCTCTTAATTGTTTTACTTTTTATTGTTTTATTATGAAACTGAACTTACAACCCTACATTGGCCTCCCTAGTACCTGGGATTGTAAGTATGTGCTACTGTGCCTGCCCAGATAACAAAAGTTGTAAATATCATTGTTATGTGATATTGAAAGCTGTTAAGATTACAAGACCGAGTTTTGATGGGCAGGTGGTGAATAGTCAACATAACTGATTTTTTTCCACCAGGTTTGCCAAGGGCAATGTTTCCTAAAAAGTAGAAGTAAAATACAGAAAAAGTAACAGGGTGCTTGCTGTTTCAGATGACACTGTTTTTATAAAATTTAACTCCTAGCCAAAAGGATCGTAAGATGTAATACTTGTCAAAGCAACTCATGAAAATTCACCTAAAAACATGTAAAGCCAGGGAAAGTGTTTTTCTCAGTAAACTTGGTTCAGAAGAAAAGTGCCATCAAATAGCAGTTCCTTATAAAATCCCTACTCAGGGTAAGCTAAAAAAAGTGGCACTTTCCTAGGGTTCATTAGTTTATTAGTCTAGTACCATCTGATGTGTTAATACACTAAAGCAACTTGCAAGCAGAAGTCAGCATAATAAAAGTAAAAAACAGAATTGCATGTGTACAGGCCTGGAAAAATCTCTTGATCACATGATGTGAGAGCTGCAGGGTACTGGGTGATCCCATTTATGCTTGAAAGAGAAGATCTCCTGAGATGTCTTTTTTTGATACCGGGGATTGAACTCACGACAGCATGCTTGCCAAGCAGGCGCTTATGCCACTGAGCTAAATCCCTGGCCCTCTAAACACCATATAATGAATTTTACTGTACATATCTAGAATGTACCAATAAAATACGATTGAAAAAGTGAAATGTACCAATAATATAAAAAGTAAAAAATAAAACTCCTGGGAAGATACTGAAAAAAGTTACATTTTTAAGAAGAGTCAAAATCAGCTGGAGCCAGCAATCCGGTTTTATTTACCAGATGTCTATACTACTGTGAGCAACTTCACTCCACGTTGTTTATGATTATCTCGAAGCTAACTAACTAGTATTTTCTTCACCACCATTCAGTGGAGTCCCAGGCAGGTGCTGACAGTAAAAGCCTAAGGACCAATGTCCCCTTAGCAAATTCTGAAAACATGATTATTTTGTTGTACTTTTATTACTCCTTTTTTTTTGAAGAACTATTTTCATTACTGTGGCTCAACAGTTTGTGTAACTTCTTGCTCTATCCTATCTATGGCAGTTTGGTTTCTTAGTATCAAGCATGACTTCTAAGATTAAAGCTGGGAGGGTGTGTACTAATCACCGACTTCTACGGGGTAAGCCTCTAGTCTTCCCACGGTGGCAGGGAGGCCAAACTGGATCCAGGGGTGGCAGAAGAAAAGCAGCACTCTAAAGCATCTCCCACTTATCACTGCTGGGATTAAGGAGGATAAAACCAGCTTTGCACAAGAAAACCTTCCCTCTAAACAAGGCTGTATGTAGAATTTAAAAAAAAACACCAGTAGCCCCTTCACGTTTTGCATAAGGGCTCATAGCAGAGGTTTCAAAGATTAAAAAAAAAAAAAAAAAAAAAAGCACAAAGCCTTTATTATGAATAATAAACTCAAATGGTAAGGCAGGGCTGATGTGCACAGAAATGCAATTTATAAAATTTTCAAGACAAAATAATTGACATCTTTGAAGATACTCGTTAGCTTTAAAAAAAAAAAAAGCTTCCAGGTTTGTAGTTCACTCATAGTTTCAAAATAGGTACCCAGTGGTAGGACCTCAGGAAATGTTGAGATTTCATAAATCATTTTTGTGCCAAATCGCTTTTCCTGGTAAATTCCTTAGTGCCTCTGCAGCAGTAACTACCCAAGATTGGAAACCTTTCAAGATGGTTCAGACCTCCAGCACCTCACAGGAGTCCGCACTTCTTAACATAGAAGGCAATGCTAATCAAGGAAGAAAATAAATAAAAGGTTATTAAAAATAAACACTAACTTCATCAAGCTTTCTAAACACACGTATCTAGGTATAAACCACTTAAAAATGTTTATAATGTCTTAAGCCTTTTGTATTTTATGTCCAGAAACTACGGATGCTACCTCACTTCTTACTTTTAAAATGTATTTAAACATGCTTTATAGTAGTAAAATAGATCTATGGGAATAAAGGACTTTCAAAGATTTAAAAACACTCTATTAATTTCAGTATGTAAAAACCACAGAGAAGTGATCTTAAACTGTAGAAACTAAGTTTAGTGACAAAGCAGTATTGATTAAGTACAACTAAATATAAAGGGTAATAATGAAATGGTCTTATAGAACAGCTACAAACAATGTGGAACCCAAACTGAAAGGTGAAGATGAGTTTAAACTCAAGTTGCCTGGCTCTTTGAGAGGTCTGGTGTGATCAAGCCTGCCCAGGAAGACTGAGCTCTCCATAGACACAGGACAAGTCGTCTCCAAGTCCTCCTCTGGCCGCACCAAACCCCATCATTCAATGACTCTTCACGGTCTCTCAGTGGTGCGAATGTATTTTGTTGGTACAACATCTTTAAGATAAGACAGCACTGTTACCAGGTGGAGTAGAAGCGTAAAAACTGATGCAGGGAAAGGCAGCCAAGGTGCAAAAACAACAAGGATTTAAGTTAAATGTGAAAATAAAAAGATAAGGGGCTGGGGATTTAGCTCAGCGGCATAAGCACCTGCCTTGCAAGCAGGCAGTCGTGAGTTCAATACCCGGTACCGATAAAAAGGAAAAAGACCAAAAAAAAAAAAAAAAAAAAAAAAACCTGAAAATAAAAAGATGTAAAATAACATTAAAAACTTTCACTGAAACCCAAGCAAAGCAAGGACCTGATTTTCACATTACCCTCTGATCAAACTGCTATGGTTAGTGGGACTTCTCAGAAAAGCTAAGAGGCTTCAAACTAATTGGACACAGGAGCTCCGTTGCTCTGCTTCCACTTTTCTAAATGTTATCTCTTCCAGGTTACTGACTGTGTCTTAGGTTAAACTCATCAAGACAAATAGAAACTCTTACGGCCAAATACATAGTTAAAAGCAGAAGTAGCAGCAGCAGCAAAAACAACTCCTGAGATAAAGTAAAATACAGTTTTATAAAGGCTGTCCTTTAAGTATTTAATTCTAGATATTAAATAGATCAGCTACTTTATAAGCAATTTTTCTCATTAATAACTCTGTCCACACTCTTTATACACCAACTTAGCTCATTACCTTTGATAAAAAAATGGCTTAACATATGAGATCTAGACACTTGTGAGAAGATGGCCAAGAAGAAGCCTTTGGGGCATGACAAGTTTCAAAGCCAGGTGAATGACTGACATAGTAAAATATGACTTGCTGCTGGGCATGGTGGCCCACAACTGTGATTCAAGCATTCTGGAAGGCTAACGCAGGAGCATCCCAAAATCAGAGCAAGACAGTCTCAAAAATTAAAGGGTTAGGAATGCAGCCGAGTGCAAAGGCACAAGATTCAGACATCACAGTATGACAAAAACAAAACAAAAACATACAAATTGAAAAATCTGGCTTATTTCTGAGTTAAGTGAAGCATCAAGGTGCATATTAAAATGTACTCTTTGACATTTACTCCACCCATAAATGTTTCAACAGAATGGCAGGCAGCTAAAGCCTTGATGTTGAGAAAGATACAATGATTCCACGGGATTGCTCACATAGATCCTTTCCACAATCTAACGCTACATCATTCTCTAAATATGTGACTAGATGAACCATCACTTAGGCAAAGTACTACAAAGAGTAACTATTAAATATAACTTCTATTCAATTAAGTTTAATAGAGCCATTTATAGAATACTTTGCTCACCAAGTACTTTGTGTGGGTGTTATTTTCCACAACTGAAATAGTTTAATGGAGCCAAGAGAGCAAGAATGATGGCTAAGAATACATTCTTCTGATCATTAATTTTAATATTTCAACATCACAGCAAAACTGGAAATGTCTTCTTTAAGAGTTTACCATTTGACTTTTGAAAAGTTAATTCTGAAGCACCCAAAACCCGAGACACTAAGAGATCGAAAGATGGGTGTAGTGGCATGGGCCTGTAATCCCAGGCCTCTGGAAAGCTGAGGCAGAAGGATCACAAGCTTGAAGCCTAATCAGGGCAACTTACCAAGACTCTCTCTCCGAAATAATTAATAGATGAATGAATCAATGAATGAGTAAGGGGCTGGCAATATGGCCCAGTGTGAAGGCCTTGGGTTCAATCCCAAGTACTGGAAAATGACAAACACAAAACAGAATATCCCAGCATGAAAGGAATCAGTAAGTTTCAAACTGTAGATAATTAAAATAAAATTGAGATATAATCATAAAATTATCAGCCAAACTCATTGAGATTTCTACAGAGAAATCTGGTAACTACATACCCTAGTCACTAAAGAAGCTTAAGCAACAAATACAGGTAAGCAACAGGGCCCTACAGTTCATGCTCTCCTTATCCTCACGCCTAAGGCAAACATAGCTCACACTCCCCATTACACAGGGGAGGGAAGGAAAAGACAAACTGACATCTAAGACCCCTGAGGGGAGACGGACCCTTTGTAATGGGAAGGGGACCCAGAGATGGAAGGAGGGAAAGCGAACATAAAAAAGTTAGGATGTGTTATGTCCACATACCAGCTTCCCAAATGAATGTAACCACTACTCCAAACATGTACAAATTAAAATTTGAAAAACAGTAATATAAAAATCATTAAGTGAAAAAAATGTTGTTCTTATGGTCCGTCCACGTTTTGTTCTGTTAAGATGCTTTCCAGAAATATCTGGAGCCAAATCAAATAACCTAAATATTGAGAGGCTCAAAAGTAAAATACACTGGAAACAGGACACAAACTTGGGGCAATTACATAGAAAAACTGCAGACCCTACAGATCAAAGCTTGCTTGAAAACCAAGCATAACATTGCCAAACAAAAGACACTAAAGACCAGGAAACTCCATGGGCACATTATAACTGAAGGGAAAAACATGCATTTTTACCTTTAGCATCAAAAATGTGACCACTCAAGTTTTGTGCTGACATTTCTCTGACCCACTGGCACCCTTGCAAACCAGTGTTTACATGTTTAAGACTGGGTACGCACACAGGATTGCTGGGAAATGGCATCACAGCAAGGCAGACTTTGTAAAATTCCCCTCTACGAGTACTCAAAAAAGTTATGACACATGGGTATGAATGAACTGTAATATTTAAATGACACGTTTTCCATACAGTCACAAAATCTTCATAGAAAGTATTAAAATCAAAAAAGGAGGAGTCAAATACAGAGATGAAATGTACAAAACAAATGAGCAGGCAAACTAAAAGTTCTTGAAAGTATTTTACTTCAGATTGAAAAATGAACAGCTTCCACACTGTTCATTGCAAGATACACAGTATTCACGAATACAATGCTGGTCATTTGAGGACATGTATATACACCTCAATTTCTCCTTCATGCTTTTCTTTTAGAAAGATACTGTTTACCAAAAAGAAACTTCAGCAGTACAGGAAAAACTATTTTCCCAATAAATTTACGAAAACCTAAGATTCCCAATGGAATCAAGATTATCTTCCCGCTACCACCACCTTAATATAATCACATGCTTATTGGAACACTAATATTCGCACCCTAAGAGTACATTTACTTTCAACAATGAGGGTGATTCTTAAAAAAAAAAAAAAAAAGTAAAAAGAAAAGTAAAGAAAGAAAAAAAAAACCTTCAGTGTGGTAAGTGTAACATGGATCTTTGTAAGTATTAAGTGTCTGAAATAGGCAGCTAATACTGGATTTAATATTATTTTATAAATAATTGTTCCCTTAGCAGTAAACATAAGTCTACACATTCACAATAGTCCTACAAAATAAATACTGTGATTATGCACAATATGTTATGACAAACTAGTTTCAAAAAACAAAAGCTCAACATCTTGATAAAAATTCTGATCAGAATAAAATGTGACTTTAAAATTTAAAACATCATTAAAATAACATCACATTCAAAATCATCCACGGTTTACACAGTACTGAGTTTCCAGTTTTGGAACATATTTTTCTGTTGTGAATTAAAATATGAACACATTGAAAATTTGTTAATTTCAGTGATGACATCAGTTTTGGTCTTACTTTAACATTATTTTCTTTTATAAAAAAATTGCACTATGTGTCCATTAGTGGTCTGATTGGTCTTTGATATTTCATAAATGTATATAAAAGAAATCCCTAAAAGCCAATAGTACTTTATATGTATGTATGTATATATATATATATATATATATATATATATATATATATACATACATAAAAGGATCTCATCTCAAATGGCTGTATTTAACAGAGCCACATATACTGATGCTAAACATAAGAGCTTTCACCTTGGAAAAAAGCATTTTCAGAAATGTCACTTACATTCATTCATATTAAATATTCCCAACCGAGTTTCAAACTCAACAGGTGATGAGTAACAGAATTTTACATCTCATTTGCACTCAAAGCTGACCATAACCAAAATTTACAGTATGATTAAAACAAGCCAATGCTTTAAAAGTTTTAATTAAAGATAACAATTCCATGAAAGGAGAGGATAAAGAATGGGATGACTAGAAGTATTTGGTCTTAATAAGGCAATACAAAATAGATCCATTATCAAAGACCATTTAATTTTTAAAGATCGACAATACCAAAAGCATAAAGTGAAGTATAAGAAAATAGTTTTTTATAAGTATGATTTAATTAAAGCTGTTTACAGTTATTCTCTCCCACAGTAGTTAAGCATGAATTTAAAAGAATAAGAGATGAGAAACACAAGCACACGCAGCACACAGGGTCAGAGGAGTCAGCATGCAAAGTTTGTGGAGCTTGAGGTTTTACTGCAACAGGAATGAGACCAGACAAGGGTGGCCTTGAGTTTCCTATTGGGGGACAGGGTAAAGAGAGAGAAAGAGGGGGAAAGACTGCAAAGGAAACGAATACGAAGTCATGTAATTGCCCATTGCCCGAAACGACAGCACGATAGAAAACAGGAGCAAGTTTCTCAGAGATGACTAGAGATTTTTCAGTGTTTACACAAAAGTACATAGTACATTTTTTTCTTTTTTTTTTTTATAAAATAAAATAAACATCATTTGCCACCGTAAACCTTTTCTTTAGAGAGAAAAAATTTGAAGTGGGTCACAAGGGTTCTATTAAGTCATTTCAATGCCAAGGAAAACAAACTGAGTAATAGAACTAATCACTTCCCTATATATGGATGTCAAGATGACAATTCAGATTATTCTTCAAACTAATCCTGAGAAGAAATTTGTTTACAATTCAAACAGTAATGTTATGTAAAAAGTATTAACAAATCCACTATTACAAATATCAATTTCCTATATGGTCTTCTATATATACACACAATAAAATGGTAAATATATGCAAAAATATTAAAAAAAAAACATGCACAGATCACTTTCCCCTTTGGAATCTGGACTTCCTATAGGATACTTCTGTTTGCCTTTCCCACCCCATCCTCTGAAATTATTTTTTATTTCTATCACCCTACCCACACTGAATACTATTCCCTATAACTCTGCATAAAGCCAATGAGAAATATATGTAATTTACATTCAAGCTTTAAATCTTAAAATGACCCTGTTGTAGCGTACAACTTATCAAATAAGCAGCTTTTTTCCCCCTGTTTTGCTTGTTTTCTGTTTTTGCAGTTGTCAGTCTCCATGATCCATTCCGTGGCGAGCTGGGAAAAAACGCAGTTGCTAAATCAACGTCTCAACAGTGTGAGGGTCCTGAATGTGTCCCAGGAGTCCCTATGCAACTGTCCTGAGCATGAGAGCATTGCACACAGAAGACAGTCCATCGCACAGTGCCGACTATCTACAGAGGTCTGAGAGGGGCGCGTCCCTCTTGTGTTTCCTCTTTTTGCCATGGTAATATTGATTATTGGATTTGCCTTGATGTTGTTTATTTGTCATCAAGGAACCATGGCTTGTCTGAGTTGTACCTTGGAAGCCTTTGCTGGAAGAACGAAAGAGCCTTGCTGATCCGTGCTGTGGAGAAAGAGAGCAGTCAGAAAGGCATCAGTATTACAGATCAGAACACCTGCACTTACAGGGAGTTTTCAAAACTAGGACTACACCAGCTAGAGTTGCATACTGACCACTGATTTATCTAGCATGCAAAAAAGACAGTTAATTCCACTGAGCTCTAAAACTCTTACATTTTTAACGGAAAAGTAGACCACTAATTAAAAAAGAGACCACTATCTTGTCTTAACAGTCTGTGAATTACTGAGAAGCTCTTAGACACATGGGTGCGCAGGCAGGTCAGGGGAGGGCATGTTGGCTGGTCCTTTCCTGCTCCTGCTGTCGTCACCTGTGACCTTCTTTGACACCAGTCTTTCCCATCATCCCTGACATACTAACTACTATTTCTCCTTAGTTTGTGTTTGGTACACATGGCTGAGGCCGTGGAATTAAAGAGGACTCAGTGACACAAATCAGAGCTGCTGCTAGGAGGCCCCTTCCCAAGATCCAAGCTATGCTCAGAGAGGACGGGCACCAGGCCAGAGTCCAGTATCCATGGCCTCCTCCCTTTTCTTTGACTTATTTCTCAGGGTTAATAACTGTAAGCAACTAAGACACTTACAAATAAGGGTACATCTCTGGCCTATTTAAAGCAAAGCCAATGTTAATCAACTAACCACACCTCACAGCTATGGTGTGATAGGTTCAAAACAGGCAAAAGTTATGAAGTATTTAAAAATAAGATCATTCGTAGATAGGCACAACAGTGTCAGGAAGTCATGCAATAACTTTACAGGCAGTTTATTTCAAGTACGATGAAACCTTTTAATTACTTGATGCCTCTTTTTTGTTGTGTTGTTACCAGGGATTGAATCCAGGCCTTCAAGAATGCTTAAGCAGGCACTGAACAACAACCCCTTGCCACGGCCCCTCTGCAATTTTTTATGCTGAATGTGTGATACTGTGGGAGAGTGGGCAGGGGTATGGCTGTGGGAGAACATTTAACTTTCTGAGCATGCATAGAGGCCCTGGGTTCAATCCCTAGCACCACAGCAACCACAACAGAATTGGAATAAGATGTTGGCTGGGACATCCTGAAAGGACCAGTCACTAGATTCTCACAGGTTGATGTTACAATGGTGTGTCATAAAGATCCTCAGGACATCCTGTTGCTAGAAACATTGTCATGCTTGGAACCTCTTAAAACAAAACAGACCTTTTTTTTTTTGTACCGGGGATTGAGCTCATGCTCAATCCTAACACTTGCCAGACAAGCGCATATGCCACTGAGCTAAATCCCTAGTCCCAACAGACTTGTTTTTTGACCTAGCATTTTCTTTAAACCCATGAAAACCACTGTCCACACGTAAGACGTCTAATTATCTTTATTAAACACTAAGAATAAAATTCCACACACCTGAGATTTGTTGGTGCTATTGGATGTGTTAGTGGTTTGGGTGCTCTGCATTTTCCCAATCGTTTGAGAGGACTCCAAGGACACATCTTGTGACCCTACTCGGTTCCCAGTAGACGGACGGCAGAGCAGCTGTTTTGGAGTTTTGCATGGTGTGGCATCTGAATCCTGACGCAAGTCACATGAGTTACAAGAAATGTCAGTAATTGACACATTTGGTATTCAGAAAACAATGTCACCTAATCACCCCTGAACAAACTGAAGCACCCAGGAGGTAAGGAGGATTTAGGAAGACTGCAGAAAAAGTTGCGTATGGTTTCTTCCAAACTGTTAAAGGGATGTTTACAAGTTCACTGTCTATATCAGACTTGGGAATCAGCTATGAAGGAGCTCAGGGGTCCTGATGTATGTGTGTTTTTGTTTACAGAAAAAAAGTCATGGCAGTAACAGGGAAAAAGAATGGTAAGAGCATAAGGTGGTAGTAGGTATAGGGGCTCCATTTTGGGAGGTTTGTAAAGACAGATCTTTTCCACCAAGTGCACCATGTAGACAAAGACACCCTAGACAATGGGCAGAGCCTGTCTCTGTCACTCTCCTTAGCCCTAGCACACACCTGGCATCTGAGTCATACTGTCTCAGGCACTAACCTCCCTCTTGAGGCTGTCTCTGTTCATCCCCCACTGTCCTTACCCCATGTCTGGGGACACTTGCTTAGCATTTTGTCCTCCTGAGTACTGCTTCAGGACCCCACAAGGCACCCAGAGAAAGTCTACATATGAATAGTTATGACTGGGTAATGACATGTAGCCATCAAGAACGTAAAATGATGTCCCTAACATACTTCTTAATGCCATATAATGAACTCAAAATCCAAATACAGTAGCGGGTAATTTTAAGGCTTAATTAACTCAAAAATTTAACTTAATTGATGTTTGAATTTTAATGAGACAGTGTATGTAGATTACAGACTGAGGAAGGGAAGAAATAGGAGGGACTCCTAACAAACGGTTTCTTTTTAGAGTGATGGAAATATTCTCAAATTAGATAGCAATAGGTATGTAACATTCTGCATACTGAAAACCACCAACTTTATACATTTAATGGTGAACTTCAAGATACATAAATTGTATCTCAGTTTTTAAAAACTCAAATTAGGAAGCCCAAAAACATTATCCTGAGTGAAAGAAAGCTTATTTAAAAAAAAAAAAAAGAATATACACTGCATGAAATACATGAAATTTTGGAACAAGTAAAACTAATCTATGGTGTTAGGAATCCTAACAGTGGTTCCCTCTGTAGAAGTGGGGACTGAGGGCACCCTTTGAGGTGAGGATAACATTACATATTTGTTAGCACACTGGATTACACATGCATACGCATTTGGTAAAAATGTGAATGTGCAATTTGGGTTCCTTTTACATCAACTGTATATCAAAAGAAAACACTGAAGTCTGGTTGACAATGTGCAATACAGAAGTTTGGGCTAAGTGATCATATCTGCAATCTACTTTAAAATGGAACAGGTTAAGATGAATTGATAAAATGTTAACAGTGAATCTCAGGGTGGGTATAGAGAGCAATAAAATTCTTTCACTTTCACTGTACGCTTGAAAGTTTTCAGAAGGAAATATTGAGAAAAAGAACAGGTATGAAAGTTATTAAAACTTTCCAGTAACAAGCAAAGGAAGCAACCTTAGCCCCATGGACGGTTAACCCGAGCAAGATGACAAGAAAGCACAAGGTTCCAAAGCCAGTGTCTTTCATACTTACCACATCACTGGAGCTGGACTGCGTGGCAGAAGAGGACGACACCGGACCTGATGAAGAGTTTGAAGAGTGTTTACTAAGAGATTCCGAAGTTTTACTTCTACATTTTCCAAGGGCTTCATTTTCTTCAGACAGATTATTATTACATTTATCTAACTGCTGAGTATCTACTATCAAGGTAACACCATTTCCTGAAAGAGTGGCAAAAGATTGGAAAACGTTTCTTCCCATTAAATACAAACAACACAGAAAAGCCTCTAAGACTCAGTCAGCATTAAAATGAACCTCACCATTGCATGAGGGTTCCAGCCTGTTCTGCAAGCCCCATTGCTTGGAGATCCAATCTCTGTATGTAGCAACTTCATCTGTTACTCTAATTATCCTACCCAATATACTGTGAGTATTTAAAAGAAAGGAACAGTATATTAATTTGAAGAAAAGAAGTTACAACCAATCCGAACAAAATGGGATTGATTTTAGTGAAATTTTTACCTCTCTGTTTCGTTGTTGGGATAATATTTTGCTATTGGTGATACAGCATGACTCAAAACAACGTAGGCATAATCAAAGGCCTGTTTCACCTGCATGGCCCCATAGGAACTCCTTCCAACATCATTACCTTTGAAAGAAATGCACACACAAAATAGTAAGCATGACCACTACCTTCACAGAGGGCTCTAAATGTTGATCAGCCCTCTGCCACCAACAGCTACCCAGGGGAAGCTCCCTCAAAGTTGAGCTATCAGTCTCTCCTTCAGCCCAGCACCCTCTGAAATGCAGTCAGTACTTTTACTAGGGTGGAGACAGGAGCTGCCTATGTGCTTTCTGGCTCAACAAGGACTCTCCTATCACACCAACAGTCATGCAAACAAAAGAAACTGCTGCCTATTTTCTCTTAAGAACAAAACCCAACTAAAGATATAATTTTTTTTTTGGTTTTGATTAACCAATACAATATTTTCCACATTACATTATAAGCTCCTAAAAAGCAAGGACTGTCATGCATTTGGATGGAGCCAGCTCCTGACGTGTATTTCTTCAACAACCAAACCTACACAACTATTAATGTTTAAAATGTACTTCAATAAGCCAGAAAATGGCTCCTAGGCCATTATTGTATCTTTTCATTTCTTTTCCTTATTTTCAAAGTTACACATTAGAGCAAATGACTAACAGCACTTTCTCTAAAATCCAAAAATGCTGGACCTATGTATTTTATAATTACATGGAAATAATATTGTCCAGAAAAGCTAAGATACAAACAAGCTTTATGAGCGCAAGAAAGGAATTATTTTCTGTTTACTTGTAAGCTAACAAAGCTAGAAAAAGCATAGGTTATACAAAATTAGAGAGAAAAGAATCACACTAAAAGAAATACATAAATTGTCTTAACTCCCTATGCTCATGAATTCAAAGACATACACTATCCTCATCTTAAGAACTTCAGAATATCTCCTTAAAGGGCTGAATGAAAACTGGTTAGAAGCACTACCCAGGATACAGAAAAAAGAAAAATGGCACCAAACTGGAGGTATATGAGGATGCAGTGAGTAAAAGCCTATTCCATCTGCTTAAAGGCATGACTCTACCACCAGCTTATCTGCAAGTTTGCAGATTTGGCAGAGAGGGTCCAAATGGTTATGTTTGGTTTTTT